GGTCGAGGCTGACGCACCAGCCGCTGAGGAGGACCCGAAGGAGGGTCAAGATGATGATGAGGACAGTGACGAGGACCTGATGGAGGAGGAATCCGATGCTGACTCTGAGGTCAGCAACCTACGTTATGTTATTCGCAACATGCATGATCCTATTCGTGAGCCGAGTTTTCAAGTATACCACTATCCAGGTGGTCCATTATGAATGTCAACTCCTCATAAGAGGATACATCCCTTCTGTAGACCCGAGATTTTTCTGATAGGTGTGCCACTCTAGGGACCGACACCCCGCTAAGCAGAGGACCTACACAGATGAAGCCACGAGCATGGTCATCATTCCCCGTACGATATGTGCCGAGATTTCTACGACCTCCGCATTGGCTTTTCAGCCGATAGGGCTCTCCCTGTCATGATTCGCCACATCTCACGCCTTGACAAGCATGCTAGGGCGTCTACCAACCAGATCCTAGATGTTGGTGCCACCGTTGAGGTCACTGCCACCCGGTTTTGTCATCTAGATGAAGATCATGATCAGACATGCAGGATCATCGATTGTCTTCAGGAGGATCTCCATGAAGGTCAATTTTCCAAAACTATGTACTACTACGAAACATTATCAATGAAATGGTTTGCATTTTATTTCATTGGGTATTATTATTAAGTTCATAAATTGTTATGCAGTTGTTTACTTATTATAGTAATTATATTTTTTATTTTATTAAAATGTTTACAAGTTGCAATAAAGGCAAGTCATAACAAACATATAGCTGAAATGTTTTGTTTCAACAAATACCTGATTTATAACTATTATCGATGACTTACCATCATTTCATCTCTCGTCCTTATGGTAGAAGAATGCCACCATGCAGAAGTAACCGACGTGCTGACGGAACACCCCAGTTCCACCAACACCAACTCCACAAGTGGACCCAACTATATTCCAAGCCGCAGTGGCTACCACCGTAGCACATATTAGCGCTAATGGCACAGACGGACACGGAAACGGGAACAATGCCAACAGTTCCAATCAGGGCGAAAACCAAGGACACCAACAAGTATGCTCCTACAAGGATTTTATGAACTACAAGCCCATGAATTTTCATAGCAACGGCGGTGTCATCACCTTAACGAGATGGTTTGAGAAAACTAAATATGTGTTTGAAGTCTGCTCATTCCCAGAAGAATGTAAAGTCAAGTACACAGCTTGTACTTTCACTGACTCAACCTTATCCTGGTATAATGGCCATGTTAAAACCCTAACTCTCGCCATGGCCAACTCTACGAGCTGGGAAGATCTGAAGGTCATGATGTTGGAGGAGTACTGCCCAAGAAGCCAAATTCAAAAATTAGAGCAAGAGCTTTGGAACCATACCATGACGGGCTCTGATGTGACCGCCTATACTACCAGGTTTAACGACTTGGCAGTTTTGTGCACCAGGATGGTCACCTCGGAATCCAAGAAGGTGGAACGCTACATCTGCTAACCCAACCACCTATGACAGTGCCAAATGTTTGGCACAAAGTCTTATCGCCCAAGGAGTCTGCCAAGGCATTATGGCTCCCACACCTGATCAACCAAAAAGGGGAGATAACAAGCGAAAGTTCTGGAACAAGAAAAAGGGCCAACTGACTCAAGAGCCTGCCAAAAGACAACAAACTGTGGCACTCCATGCCACCACTGTCCCTACTGTCCCAGCGTCGGCTAACAATATGCTGGCAATCTACCAAAATACAACAAGTGCAACTTCCATCACAAGGAAGCTTGTTGGGAGATGCATTGCAACAACTGTAACAGGAAGGGGTATACCGCTCAATTCTGTAAGTCGTCAACTCAACAGACCACCCAAACCACTAATGCTGGGGTGAATCTGGCGTGCTACGGATGTGGGGAGACAGGACATTTCAAAAGGGAGTGCCCAAAGGCAAAGAACAAGAATGTCGCAGGCATTAAAAGAGTTTTAACAATAAGGCATGAGAAAGGTATGAAGGTCCTCACTATGGTTACCGGTACGTCTCTCCTCGATAACTCATATGCATGCATAAGGATGCGGAGAAGAGTTTCGTGAGCCATAATTTTAAAAACATACTCAAACAAAAACCTCAATCACTCAATGAAATATTTACAATAGAAATGGCAAATGGAAAAACTGAAAGCACCAAAGACATATACATAGGATGCACCCTAACCCTAAACAATCCCTCCTTGCAAATCGACCTAATGTATGTTACAATAGGAAGCTTTGACATGATCATTGGCATGAATTGGTTAAGCCCTCACCATATCGATATCATGTGTTACAAAAGGGTCGTCCGACTTCACTTACCAAATAACGAAACCCTTGTCATCTATGGTAACAAACCCGGCACAAGCTTCGAATCATCTCATGCATCAAGGCTCAAAAATACCTACGCAGGAAGTACCACGCCTTCATGCTACTGATATACAAGGTATCTTTTATGTCTAATTCATTTCACAACGGTGCTCGTTTTGCTCGGCTCTCCTTCACACCGCTGCAAAGGCCCCCCGCATAAATCAAGATTTCCGGCATAGCTGTCGGCTTTAATATTCGGACCAAAATTCGGGACCGGGCCCGACAAGAGATTATTTGAAACATTGAACTCCTTAATCCGACTGAGCCCGCCCAATTCATATGGAATCCGACCCGTGAACCGGTTGTTATCGAGTTTGAGAACATTAAGAAATGAAATGTTTGAAATGCTGACCGGGATTTCTCCCGATAAATTGTTGGATGATAAATCGAGAGTTGTGAGAAAGTGAACGATATCAGTCATGTTGGTGGGGAGGGGCCCGTTTAGGCGGTTGTTGGAAAGGTCTAATCCGGTCATTGAGGTACAGTTCTTGAGTCCAACCGGGAAGCCACCAATCAACCCCATGTCAGAAAGATGGATATTTAAGACTTTGCTTTCATCAGGATGCCAACATTCGATTCCTGTGAATCTGCAAATGAATCCTTCAGTGCTGTTACTGAAATCCCATGATGATAACAGGTTTTCGGGATCTCTCAGTGATGCTTTAACGGATTTTAAGCAATTGATGTCACTTTCAACCGCATTGTTGCAGGCGATGGATATAAGAATGTAGAGACACACGCTGATTACTGTTACGTGATTCCATTCCGTTGTCATTGTACAAGAAACCTGTGGGTTTAGGAATCGGAAACCTCGGTTCCCAAGAAACAAACCTGGAAAGAAAGATAGCAAAACAAACAAGATATGTTCAGATGTTTTCTTTTTGACTTTCAGAACTAATGCATGTGTATTTTCTTTTGATTGCGCAAAGTAAATAGTAACAAAATATTCTGCTTACCACTTTTGTCTAAAATCGTTCATTCTTGATTGAAAGGTGTTTTTGCAAAAATCCTAAATTACAGGATGGTTTACAAGAGTAACCAATTTAAGACAAATCGTACAAATGTAAATGCTAACCTAAAAGTTTTGCTTCACGATTTCTTCTAAAGTCGTTCAGTCATGTAAAGTGATAATAAAGTCAACTACAAATTTTTGAAAAGTCGATCACTCCAAAACAACAGATAGCAAAAAAGAACAAATATCATCGATCTTCATCGCCTAAACCTCAAATTCGTGAGAGGAGCAGTGCCCTTACTCGATACTTCAACGAATTATAATAATATAATCGAACAATTGAGATATCATAAACCCTAATCATAGAATACATAAATCAAAACGACAAGATCACTATATTCCCACAAAATTAGCGACACAGCCGGAAAGCAAAACAATATCATCTACCAACAAAATGAAAACCCATATGAATTCCATCAAATTTAGCATAAATTTAATAACTAGAGCAACTAAAACGAAACGAAATGACAAAGATGAAAAGTTTACAAAGTAAAATTCAAGATCTTGAGTAGGAGGAGCTTTCTTCAACATGTATTAATGATAAGAGCGGAATGATTAAATGGGTGTAGGAGAAAACTGGAGCTAATCGGGTCAAAGAAGAAAAGGCCATGTTGATATGAAGCTTCAAGCGACGACTCACGACTAATAATGAATGGAATGCTTGACTTGCAGTTGTTTGTTACTATTTTGTGAGGAAAGTGAAAGGCGTGTGAAGTGATGACTTTTGAGGAATTGGGAGTAATTTGGACCCAAATTTGCAATTGACGAATGACGTTCGATGGCAATTTGATAATTGGGTAAATGGTGTGGTTTCGGTTAATATTTACCAGGATTTAATTAGAAAAAAATAAATATGAATTTTTAATAATTTGAAAAGTTTGAATTTATAAGAAAAATAGAAAAATTTGAATTATTAAAATTAATGAGATTTTAATGTATTGATTACATTACATATATAAAAATTTTCTAATAAATACTTTACATATATATTATGTCAAATTTTAAATTAATAAAATGAAAAATACAATAAAATGACAAGTGGAAAGTAGAAAATTTAAAAAATCTAGAAAATGTCACGTGTCCAAATGAATAAGAAGAGAACATGTGGCAAAAAAAAAACCTTCATTTATTATAGTAGAAGATAATGGCTAATCGCTAAAATATCTAAATGGAATATATTATAACCATTGGTTTCGATTTTTTTTTTCTTTTTTGGTAAAGAAAGAAACATTCACGAAATTTCCTTTTAATGTCTAATTTAAGAACTTCGTTTTATTACCATTCTTTAATTGTATCTTAAATTTCCTTTTAATGTCTAATTTATGAACTTCGTTTTATTACCACTCTTTAACTGTATCGTGTTTGCAACGTATTGAGTTTTTATATTCGTTACGTTCCTTACGACGACATCATCGTTAAATATAATGTTGAATTTTCATTTATACAATTTGATGATTTAACTTTGAATTTATTTATGTTTTGTTTATTTTATACAATTAGAATGTTTATATAATAACGTTATATGTGTTATCATATATAATAAGGTTATTTGTGTTATCATGGTGTTTACAAGATAAAATAGTTGCAATCACCTTCGTTAATTGCTTTTTTTCCTGATAATGGTTTCGATTGTGCAGGAGTTTGAAATGGGTTCTTCAGACGATGGTTACGACGGCCCAATTGTTGGAATTTACGAGCCATTTTCTAGGTTAAATGAGATGGATTTTGAGTTGCACGGGATTTACATGGATCATGAACCAAAGCAGGAGTCGATAACAAGGCTTAATAAATCTAAGGATCCATTTCTTAACATTTTACTTAGTGATGAGAACATCATAATTTCAAGTATGGCTGATGAAGTCAAAGCTCGAGTATACCATGGTAATGATTTACAAAATGATGAGGAGGCAGAGGAAGTAGTGACGGACAACTACAAAATACATGATCCAAACGTTAGGTGGGATAAGATAGAACCTAAGTTAGGGGGTATGTTTGAATCATTTGCACAACTGAAATTTTGTGTGACAAACAATGCAGTAAATGGAGGGTATGAGATATACTTTCAAAATAGTGATAATCGAATAATTATTGCAAGATGTGGGAAGAGAAATGAAGAAAATAAGTGCTTGTTTAGACTTTATGTAGCTTAGATGTACAATGAAAGAACCTTCCAGGTTAAAGAAATAAATTATAAGCATCTTTGTTCTACAGTGTTTAAATTTGGGTCTATCGTTACCTCATAATGGATTGGAAGACACTATGTTACTGAGATAGCAAATAAACCTAAAGTAAAACTCAGGAAGATATAGGAAATGTTAAAAGGGCAAAACTATAGGCAAACAAAAGTATAGATGTGTGGTATCTATAAGACATGTTAAAAGGGCAAAACTATAGGCAAAGGAACTGATTAAGGGTAAATTAACTGAACACTATGCAAGAATTTAAGATTATGCTCGAGAGTTATTGAGATCAAACCTTGGGTCTACATGCAAAGTTGGTGTTACTACCAATCCAAATGAGAAGAATTATTTTCATAGGTTTTATATTTGTTTCAAATCTTTAAGTGTTTGCCGGAAAATGGGGCGTAGGAGGGTTATAGGGTTGGATGGGTGCTTCCTAAAGGGTCAGGTTAAAAGTGAATTACTCACATCCATAAGTAGAGATGCTACTAACCAAGTACTCCCAAAAAGCTTGGGATATTGTTGATGTGGAAAACACGGATAATTGGATATGGTTTCTAGTGCTTTTGAAGGATGATGTTGACCTTAGTACTAGTGCATATTTGGTTGTCATTTCTGATCAACATAAAGTAAGTTCCCTTATACGAGTAGTGTATTTCAGTTTGATTATTTCAATGTGATTAAAAATGCTAACATAATGTGTTTGTTTATAGGGTTTGCTTGAATCTGTTAAGGTTATTTTGCCACATGTGGAGCATAGACAGTGCGCTAGACACATTTATGCATGTTTTGGGAAAGCTTTCTCAGGATTGGAGTTCAAGAAATTGTTATAGGATGCATCAATGAGTTGTGTTGAAGGTGAATTCTTGAGAAACATGGAAACACTAAAGAGTCCAAACCCTAATGCACATGAGTACCTAATGTCTACAGAACCCAAAACATGGTGCAGAGCTTACATAAGTGCAGGGTATGCTTGTCAAGCAGTGAAAAATGGTATTTCATTGTGTTTCAAATCCATAATTATAGAAGTTATGAAAAAACCTTTGATTACTGTTAATAAGTAAAGCGGATAACTAGCAAAAACTAGAAGCATACAAGACACAATATTTACGTGGTTCGGTCAATGTGACCTATGTTCATAGGCAGGAGGGGAGTATTATTTATTTTAGAGCTCTCAAACAGAGGTTACAGGTACAATTTTCATATAGATTCGCCTAACACTCTAGAATTCAACATACAAAATGACTTAGCATGCATCCATATTTATACTTGAGGGATCAGACCTAAAACCCTAATAGGTCAAGCCCATTATCCCATAGGTCCATGAATGGTGTCAACCAATCACAATCTGCCATGATGGATGTTGGGCCATTAGTGTTCATGATTCACCACTTGTACATCATGATGCTCCACTATGGCACAAGGTGATCTATCATGTGTGTTGCTGATGCTCATGGGTTGTATGACATGGAAGAATGTTCCAAAATATGTTTCATGGAGGAATATGATTGGTTGTCACCATTCATGGGCCCATGGGCCAATGGGCTTGGTCCATTATGGCTTTAGATATGATCTCTCAAGTATAAATAAGGATGCATGCAGAGTCATTTGAGGTGTCTTGTATCTTGAATCCTTAGTGAGTAGGACGAATCTTTGGTGAATTATACTTGTAACCTCTGTTTGAGAACTCTGAAATAAAGAATACTCTTATCTTGCTCGTGGATGTAGGTCATGTTAACTGAACCACGTAAATATTGTGTCTTTGTGTGTTTATAGTTTTGCTTGTTATCCACATTACTTCCTAACAAGTGTCATTGAAACTTAACGAATGCATCAGATTTGTTCGGAGTCTTGACAAGTATCCTCTGTTTTCCCTAACAAATATTTATGGAAATGTAACAATAAAGTGTGTTGAAAATAGACTAAACAATTACTATAG